TTATTTCTTTTTTACTGCATGTCTGCATTATTTTTGTCCTTGCACCATATTATATTACGAATCACAGAAGTTTTGAAAGCAAAACAGGAGGAAGTACAGAAAATTAATAAAATTATTCAGGAATAATAATTTCTGAAAAAAGATTACAACAGAAAAGTCCAATTTGGCTAAAGAAATGCTCAGCCACCAGCATTTAAAAGGGGTACACATTATGGAAGGATTGAGAGAGGCATAGAATACATCACAAATCATTGCATCTAAGAAGAATGGGATACGATTAAGAAATGCTAATTTGAAATGTCATTGAAATTTATTTCATTCCATCTAAACATGGTGAGGTGATGAATTTATGCTTTGAAAAATCTTTCTCACTTTTGAAAAGATTCCCTCATGGGAAGACTCAGAGAATAGTGCAAGTATTAAATTCGTCTTCTAGAAGAAAAACAACATCTATTTTGATGTATGGGTTTCTGGTTCCAAATATGTTTTTCATGTTCCAAAACCAGTTTCTAGAGTTTTTGCCAAACATGTAGAACAGGTAATAGAGAGAAGAAATTGTATGATTCTTGGTAGTTCCAGTGCACTGACAATTATGGCTGTATTTAAACATTCTAAGAGCTGATTTTTAGTTTGCCTGTGGCATCTGTTACCTGTGAGCTGCAGAAGACTCATAAAGTACAATAAAAGTGCATGAGAAATAAAACAGACACTTAGCAAATTATGAATACAAATACAATATTTATAATCAGCATACAATAGACTAAGTGAGATTCCTAGGCAATTCAACAACCCACTTGAAGTTAAATGGACTTTCTTATCTGTCCTGATAACTACCGTGGCAGACAGACTTTAAGATGGTCTCCAAAGATCTTGCCCCCTTGTATTCATGCTCTTGAATAACCTCCTCCCCTTGAGTGAGAGCAGGATCTGTGATTTGTGGATGTCACTTCCATAATGACATTACATAAAATTGTTGTGTTCTTTTGTTAGCAAGCTCTTGTCCTTGCTAGCTCTGATGCAAGCTGCCATGCTATGAACTGCCCAGTGGAGAGGCCAACATGGCACAGAACCCAGGGTAGACTTGTGCCAATAGCCAGCCAGGCACGGAGCCCTTACTCCATCATCCTGCTCCAGCAACTGAATCCCACCAACAACTGTGGGGCTTGGAAGTGCATCTTTTCCTAGCTGGGCTTTCAAGTGAGACTCTAGCTTTGGCCAACACTTTGCAGCCTCTTGAGAGACCCTGAAGCACAGGCCCCAGTTAAGCTATACCTGGATTCCTGGCCTGCAGAAATTGTGAGATAATATATATGTGACTTTTAAGCTGCTCAGTTTGTAGTAATTTGTTACGCAGCAATAGCTAACTAATGTACCTATCCATGATCATCACGCATTCATGATGTTCAGTGTTTAGAGCAGTAGTTGGAATACAGCAAGCACTTTATAGACAACACACAGAACTTTTATATTCATTCATTCATTTGCATTCATTCATTCTCTTGTTTATACAACAAGTGTTTTAAAATGTATCAGGTACTGGGCATATGCAAGCACTAGAAAACAATACAGGGATGATGTATGTCCTCAAAGAGCTTAGAAGGGTTCCAAGGGCTTAGGCTTAACATCTAGCCATACCTAAAACTCACTAATTTCAACTGGGATAGGTGTAACAAGGAAAAAAGTGTAACATGCCATAAGGGTGTACAAACTGGGGAAGGCCTCCTTGAGGGAGTGACGTTCAGGCAGAAGCTGATAGGACTAACACATGGTGGCTCTTCCAGGCAAAGCACCCGCAAGTGGACAGGGCTTTCGATGAAGGTAGAGGCAGGAGCAAGGGGGGGATGGCAGACAAGCCAGGACCCGGGGTGAATTCTTAGGTGGGTTTTAACTAAGAAGTGACATAAACAGATTTGTATGTTAAAAGTGTCGGGCACTGTGGCCAGTATAAAAGTTCTGTATGTTGTCTATAAAGTGCTTGCTGTATTCCAAGCCCTGCTCTAAACACTGACCACGTACAAAACATGTGTCATTCTAATAAAACTCTATGAGAAAGGAACTAGGTTATCTCCATTTTTCAGGTAGGAAAACTGAGGCACAGAGAGATTTGGTAACTTGCCCAAGATGGTGTGGCTGGAAAGTGGCTGAGGCCAGGTGTAAGGGCAGGCAGCTGGCTGGCTCTTAACCGTCCTCTTCCCCCAAGCCTCACTAGACCACCAGATTCCCCTCTGTAGAGGAAGAAGTTGGAGACTCGTCCTGCACCTGTCCCTGGATAGCACTTTACGGACACTGGGAAACCTCAGTTGTCTGTGTTAATGTTGCCTGATGTGACACCCATGAGTCACACATGGCTATTGAGCAATTAAAATGTGAGTAATCCAAACTGGAATGTGTGGAAAGTGTATAATACACACCAGGTCTTGAAGATTTTGGCCGAGGTGGGTGGACTGCTTGAGCTCAGGTGTTCAAGATCAGCCTGAGCAAGAATGAGATCCTGTCTCTACTAAAAAATTAGAAAAACTAGCCAGGAGTTGGTAGTGGTGCCTGTAGTCCCAGCTACTAGGGAAAGTGAGGCAGGAGAATCTCTTGAGCCCTAGAATTTGAGATTGCTATGAGCCTATAGTCCCAGCTACTAGGGAGACTGAGGCAGGAGGATCTCTTGAGCCCTAGAATTTGAGATTGCTGTGAGCTATGATGCTGCCACAGCAGTCCACCCAGGGTGACAGAGTGAGACTCTGTCTCAAAAACAAACAAACAAAATCCGCGTCTGTGGCTCGCCTTATGTTGCTGATGAATGATACTGGACTAAATGAAGAATGGGGGTGTGTGATGAAGGTGCTGGAGATGCAGTACTAACTCTCCCAAACCATTTCTGGATGCCCCACAGGAGGCCCCTCCGGGGTGGCACAAGCCTCTGAGGGGAGAGTCTACGATGTCTTCCCAAAGGGAAATGCCAGGGAGAGAGGTGCTTGGAGGAGAAGGGGCTGGAACTGAAACCTGGAGCAGGGCTTTAGGGGTTCCCTACCCTCGCCTTGTCAGGACTTCACAGGGATTAACCACAACGTGCCTGCTGGGCCCAAATGTGACACAGATGCCCTGTCCCCTGCTATATGGGTCTGATGTTTATAGCCACATGTGGTACATGGTAAATGTGATATAGGGTGTGAACTATTGTCATTATCATTTTTATTATCCTGCGCCCAATTCTGTCCTGGAAGCGACAGGATCATTGTCAGAAGTCTTCCCAGCCCTGGGTTTCTGACATCTCAGTATCAGCCAGCGTGATTCATAGAGACCTCTCTGAGGATTCCAGATTTTACATGATCCCTGGGAACTTTTATGGGTCCTGAAGCTTAGGGAGGCAGCCTCACTAATAATTAAGATTTAATTTCTTGCCAGTTGGTAAGTGTAAACTTGGAGTTGGATTTAACCTGATTTTAAAAAATAATATGGCAATTTTTTTTTTTTTTTGAGACAGAGTCTCAAGCTATCCCCCTGGATAGAGTGCCATGGCATCACGCTCACAGCAACCTCCAAATCCTGGACTCAAGCGAGTCTCCTGCCTCAGCCCCCAAGTAGCTGGGACCACAGGCGCCCGCCACAGCGCCTGGCCATTTTTTGGTTGCAGCCATTATTATTGTTTGGTGGGCCCAGGCTGGGGATTCGAGCCCGCCACCTTAGGTGTATGTGGCTGGCGCCTTAGCCGCTTGAGCCACAGGTGCCGAGCCAATATGGCAATTTTTGCTGTTATTATGTTCCAATGAAATTTATATCCATGGGGACTGTGGTTTTTGAGGCAAGACTTTTCAGGTAAGAAAGACTTCACCAGTTTTAGGAGATCTTAAAATCACTTACTTTTTGGAATAATAGCTAGTACAACTAGATATGAGGAAATTCTTCAATGAACACATTCTCTGAATGTAATCGCCCATGCATCTACACATTGAAATAGTATAGAAGTGATTTTAGAACCTGTAACTTTTTGAGATCCTTGAAGGCTCCTGGATGAAGTTTGAATATCTTGTTGCCCTTTAAATAGAGAGACTCTAGCTGCAGGCACTTATGGAAATCAGAAAATCCAATTTGTGTTATCCCATTGAACGACAGATCCAAACTCTGCAGTGACTTGAGTTTCCAGAGTCCTGTTAAAATGAAAAAGTAAATTAAAATCTAAACTGGTGACATTTACTGCAGCATTATCTGTCACGGTGGAAAATTAGAGATGACATTAACAGTTCTCAATGGAGAAATTGTTAAAGTATATGAGCGCTGTACAATAACATGGAGTCTCAAAAGAGAAGGGGGAGGTCAGCATGTGGACTGATCGAACAGGAAGGAGAAGGTTAACTGGCCGATCAGTACAGAGTCTGATTCCAATGTTATTCCAATGCATGTATTTGGAGGAGGCAGAAAAAAGTCCTGGGAGGAAATGAAATCCACTATTAGTAGTAGTTATACTCACAAGTAGGGTGGTTGAAGGAAATGAGGAAGGAAACTTTCTTTTCCTTGTATACATTTTTTGAATTTTTTCTTTCAATCAGCATATGCCACTTTTAAAATAAGAACATCAGCGTGGCGGCCATAGTTCAATGGTTAGGGAGCTGGCCATATAACCCCAGGGCTGACGGGTTCGAACCCAGCACTGGCCTGCTAAACAACAATGACAACAGCACCAAAAAATAGCTGGGGCGTTGTAGTGGGCGTCTGTAGTCCCAGCTAGTTGGGAGGCTGAGGCAAGAGAATTGCTTAAGCCCGAGTTTGAGGTTGCTGTGAGCAGCCATAGCACTTTACTGGGGGCGACAAGTGAGACTCTGTCTCAAAATAAATAAACACAAAATAAGAGCATCAATTAAGAATCTAACCTTGACTGAAACATGTGGTGTTAAGTAAATATCTGTTTCCTCGAAATTCCTGAGTAACAAACATCTGGCTGACACGCAGCTCACACTGACAGACAGAGGCTGTTACAGGTAAATGAACCTGTTCCAACTTACATACAAATTCAGCTTAAGAACACATCTATCTCATTTCTAACCAGTGACTGCCTGTATTTGACTGAACTGTAGGTAAGATAAAGTCATCTCAATATGGCAATAGAGGAAAAAGGTGTTTTAATGCTTTATTTACATGAATGGATTCTTCCAGTTTTAAGATTTTCTTATCCTATTTTGTAATCATGTCCATTTTTTGTAACTACTTGTTGATATACTGATTATTTTCTAGGCATTCTTGTATTTTTCATAGGTAATAACCTATAGCTAGATTTTGTTTCCTAGCAAAATAATCAAATTAAATTTTGGTCTCTGCCTTTGGATTTCATTTGATCTCAGAGAATAACCAAGGGTTCCATCAGGCACTGAGAGCAAATAAAGATTGACAATATGGTGCCAGTCACAGTAGCCTCTCAAATTTGACTTCCCACATGAATCTTGTAAGAAAGAGCCTGAATTTTTACATTAACCTCTGCTCTGTTCTCACATATAGACTGTGTGCTGTGATGCCACGGCACTTTACTGAGGGCAACAAAGTGAGACTCTGTCTCAAAATAAATAAATCTGCCTGAATCTGTAGTCTGCCCCACAGCCCTGGGCACGTCAGTGGATCCTCCACACCCCCGTCCAGCAGGACCCCGCTCCAGCACTACAGCCAGGGGCACCCAACTGGGGAGCCTGGGCTGGAGGCCAGTTAAATATTTTGAATATAGCACCTGGAGAAAATATGTTTCTTTGTGTAGAGAAGAATACTCTTCTATGTTTTAATATGCAAATATATGAGTGTTTGAGAAAAAATTACAACATAAGAACCAAAATGAAAGAAGCTGTAATAGTTCCCTCACCATTGCCATGATACCTGCCTGGCCTAGGGGTCAATTCAGTTCCTAAAACATCTCTAGTGCTTAATTGAATTGAATAAGTACCCTAGGAGCTCCGTGCAGGCAGTGATCATGCCTCGCTTTGAAGAGGAGGGAAGAAATTATTTTTAAACACCTATTTAGTTGCACACCCTTTGTGCTCTAAGCATGTCACAGATATCTTTTAGTCTTCAAAAAGTAGGTTTAGGGGTTATTCCAATTTTACAAATAGAAAAACTTAGGCTCAGTGAAGTGAAGAACTTGCCAATAGTGCCATGGTAGGTGGAGATGGGATCAAACCCCAGATCTTTCTCTTTTTTTTTTTTTTTGAGACAGAGTTTCACTATGTCACCCTTGGTAGAGTGTGGTGGTGTCACAGCTCACAGCAACCTCAGACTCCTGGGCTCAAGTGATTCTCTTGCCTCAGCCTCCTAAGTAGCCAGGACTATAGGCACCCGCCATAATGCCCGGCTATTTTTAGAGACAGGGTCTCAGTCTTGCTTGGCTGGTTGGAAGCCGTGATCTCAGGCAATCTACCCACCTCAGCCTCCCAGAGTACTAGGATTACAGGCATGAGCCACTGCAGCTGCCCTATACCCACTTTTTTAATTAAAAAAATTGAATTTCAGGGCCCTTAAAGAGAACTTGAATTTAGAAAGGAGAAAAGAAAGCTGAGGGTCAGGGCTTTTTAGGCTAAAGGACTGTCTGGGCCATGCATAATTAAATGGCCAGATGTATTGGGTTGTTCAGTTATCCTGCCCATGTCACAGAATTACAGGGTCTGAAGAGACTAAGTTTTATTCCGTCTTGGTGACTTTTGATATATGTCACTAAGCACTACTTAAGGTCTTCATGCCTCAGTTACCGTCCTTAAAATGGTTTCTTATAGCTGGAATTGGGATGTGTCTTTAATTATTATGATCTTCAAGCTTTTTGAACCCAGTGGAAGCCAGGTCCTATAGTTTGAATGATTGTTCATCAGATAGTCCCTCTCCTGTAGGCAGAATATACTTCCTCACTCCTCTCAGTTGGGTTTGGCCATGTGACTTGCTTTGGCCAATGGAATGGCAGAGGTGGTTTGAGCAAAGGTTTAAAATGTGCTTGTGTGCTGGGATTTGCTTTTTGACGTCTACCTTGGTTGAAAAAGAACACGGCTTGCTGGCCTTCTGGCACAGTGAGGGACATGTGGGGAAGATCTGGACCCAGTGTGTAACTTCCAAGATAACAGGTTTAATCCTTTGATGATAACCATGGCTTACCCAGCAGTGGAGTGAGACATGCTGTTGGCTGCCAAAGTAGTGTTCTTATTTCTAGAATCATAACTGCTTAGCGAGATTTGGCACATTCTCTCTACCTGCCTCAGGTGACTGCATATGAATCACGCTGGACTGAGTTTCCTGTGATGCTGGGATGCAGATGGAGACTAATTTGTTTACTTATACACACAGCTTTTACAGGAAAAGTCGGGGGAGAAGACACCCACCCTTCCCACACAATTCTGTCGACATGTTGGGTGGAATAGTCTTGCTTTTATCTGCTAGGCTATTATTGCCAAATGATGCTTAAAACAAGGCTGGAGAAAGGGCAAAATAATTAAAATATGAAAGGTAAGAACTGAAAAATTATATGAAAATTAAATATGCATTCTTTGGGATGGAGAAAGAGGACGATATCTTTTTCTTTTTTTCTTTAGAGATAGAGTCTCACTTTATCACCCTCGGTAGAGTGCTGTGGTGTCACAGCTCACAACAACCTTCAACTCCTGGCCTTAGGTGATTCTTTAGCCTCAGCCTCCTGAGTAGCAGGAACTATAGGCACCCACCACAACGCCCGGCTATTTTTTGTTGCAGTTCGGCTGGGGCCGGGTTTGAACCCACCACCCTTGCTATATGGGGCCGGCGCCCTACCCACTGAGCCACAGGCCCTGCCCAGAGGACGATATCGTTATAGTGTTTTTTTAAGCACAGTGTCTTATCTAAATAGGTGCTTAGCAAGCACTGAACAAGACTGAACACAAACAAGGAAAGGAAACTGTCTAGCACACTGGAATATAAAAAGGGCAAAGGAAGTCTTGCCTTACGAACCTGGTACATTTGCAGGTTCATACGATGCAGAAAGCATTGGTGTGTTAGTCAAGGAATTCCAGCATGCAGGCTGCTGAATGCAGATGAGAATTTATAACAGGAGGCTATGTGGAGTATCCTCTTATAAATACAGAATTCCGATTTTGATCTGATAATCAGAGAGTTTACATGCTAATGTGTAATATTAGGATATTTCTGGCCTACATTTGGAGGACACTTAGATAAGTCGAAGCAAAACCTACTCTCAGGTGACAAAAATTATGAATGTGACAACATATTTAATTTGAATTATTAACTTGTTAAAAGCATCTGAGCTGGTTATTTCTCAGTGTTTTCCTATATTAACAAACATGTGATAACGTAGGTAACTTAAAATCAAAGCACTGATTATCATTTAGCACTTAAATATATCTAATAGCTCTCCACAAATCCACCTAACATTAACCTAATGGGAGGTTAAATTGCTCTAAGTTCCACGTACTGAAACTCCCAAGTCCACAAGGAAACTCCTTTTGTTCTATTTGCTGTGATCAGGTAGCTTTACTTTCACGTGTTTCCTTGAATCTGAAAACAAACATGGAATTCTTATTGACATAAAACACCAACTCTTCATGGCCTCCTTGTTTCTAGGTAGAGACCATCTGGTAAAATTATACTCACCCTTAGGAGTGTCGCTGAGCTTATTTCTTTGAAGAATTAGCACCTTTAGAAACGGAAGCCCAGTTTCCACGCTGCTTTTGTGGCGTTTCATCCATGAGGACTTAGGCCTGGGCAGATGCAGGGAGATGGAGTGGATGGCGTTGTTGCTGAGGTTTAACATTTCCAAGGTGTGTAAATACGCCAGAGGGCTTAAGGTTATTTTTGATATGAGATTGTTACTGAGGTCCAGGTGTTTTATTTTCCATTCTTTTTTCTTGTGAGACTGTAAGAGAACCCTAAAGAAATTGAGGCTGATCTCCAGTGTGGCTGCTGTCTGTGATGTGTCCACAGGCATTTCATGCTTTCTGGTAAAAGAACAATTTGTCGGAAGATACTCGCTCCACTGGCACTCAGGATGGAGTAAAACACTGCTTCTACTGGATGGATGTGTCCTCACTCCAGTACAATGAAGACCTATAACTATGGTAATGACGCCGCAACAGAGGGTTTCCATAATGCCTGGAAAAAGGAAAATGAGTCGACTTAATCAAAAAACTTACGTAGACACTAACAGGAAATAAGAAGCAGAAGATTTAATTTTTAATTCAAGATTTAGGAAAGTCATCTTGCCTTGATTGTCCATTTAAGTGACTGGTTTCTTAGACATGGAGGTGTTAAAAGGTGGCTGCTAAAATGGCATAGCAATAGCATAAAATTGAAAAATTATGCCACGCTTTAAAGACAGGACTCCCCTGATTTCTCAGAAGATAGGTACTGACTTGGGCCTCACCTCAGCATCGGCTTGTCCGGTCTTGTCGCCTCTGCAGTCTGCTGTGGAGTGAGTGAAACCTCACCGAGTCTGCTGGTCACTCACACCGAGCAAAGTCTGCTGGGCTTATCGGCACCGCCCTCCGGGCCACGTGGCTTACTGCACGAATGGCATCCAGTTACACTGAACTGTGAACCTCCCATAACTGAGTAGAAAGTTCAGCTCATAACAGAGACTTGTGATTTTTTTATGACTTGAACTACGAGCTTTGTTTTTTGTGGCTTTTCAAATCACTTTGAAATCATTTAAATACATATAATATGTGCTATGAAAAGGACATTCTGCTTCAGAATCAGGAAGGCGTAAGAAGATAGAGAAATATTAAGTATCTTTTTTTTTTGTTGAATGGTAGCTATGTACATTAATGCACTTCTGGGGTACAGTGTGGTGTTTTCACACACAATCTGAAACACTTCCATCAAACTGGTTAACATAGTCTTCATGTCATTTTCTTAGTTATTGTGTTAAAATGTTCATATTCTACTCTTAGAAAGATTCACTTGTACCCTTGTAAGATAAACCACAGAAGTGATCCTTCCAATCCTCCTCCCTCCACCCATTTTCCCCCTCCCTTCTCCCTCCCTCCTCCCCATATTCTTAGGCTGTTATTAGGTTATAATATTAAGTATCTTTTTCAAGAAAAAGTCTTGAGACACAATTGAAGGATTTTAAAGACGTATAGAGAAATTAGAGTGGCTGAATGTGTCATCGAGATAAATTTAAATGAAAATGGGTACATTTTGTGACTTGCTTTAATTAGACTAAAGCCCTTTTCAGAACCTTCGTGCACAAATGATCACATTTTCAACATACAAGTTAACAACAAACTGTCCCTTCCTGTCTGTTTTAAGGGCACCCATTCTAGTTTTCATCACTGTAATCTGAAATATTAGAAGGGCCTCACTGCTCTTCCTGTCTCTGCCTCTTGACTTTCCTTCTTTTTGATTCATTCTAAGTGATTCCAAAAGATTATTTTCCCAAAGTAGTTTTCTTCGATGAACGTTCCTTCATTCAAAATCTTCAAGGGCTCCTATTGCCTGCAGCCCCCATCTCTCAGGTTGGTATACAAAGCCTTGTTCTACTACCTAAAACTACTACCCTGACAAGTGCGTGGGGAACAGGAGGAAGGCGTGGCTTGAGCAAAGAGCTACACAAGTGTATCTCACGCCAGTGTTAGCGCTTAGTTCATTCCCAAGTCTAAGTTCAATGCCGCCTTCTCTTCTAAGCTCAAATCCCAACATATCCTTCCAGAGTCATCTCAAATCCTATGGCTTGAGGCCCTTTGTCCTGCTTTAACCTTTATTTTTGTCTTTGTTTACAGAGCAATTTTAGTAAATATTTCCTGAATGGTCAGTGCATGTTAAAGCCCTTCTCACTGACAGAAAGTCAGTACTGTCCTGCATTGCTGTTGCTTTGCTTTGTGTCTATTTTGGGCTCCCCCAAAGGTTAAGGACCATGTATGGTTTATATAGTTCATATTTTAATAGTTTGCAGTGTGTCTCTCTATTTGTGTGAATGAATACATGAAGTAAATGAAGTTTGCAATGTAGGTTTGAAACCTTTGCTTTGTACAAGGTCAACTGGCCTATATTTTGAAGGGCATCTAAATTCAGGTAGACATGGCCATGAACTGCAAAGGTGCCCTACAGCTTGGGGGAGTGATTTATTTTTATAGCGTGGCTCTTATGTAATATCAGAAATTGAATTAATTTGGCCAGTCAGAAAGATGTTTTTTTCCTACATTCAAAGCTGCAATCACAATATAGACAATTGGTAACAACATCAGCAACGGAAAATACAGTTACCATTCTCAGGTACACTACTTTGCAGTATTGAAGAGAAAGGTGTGATTGAAGAGTACTTTTTCTTGAGGAGACAGAGATTTTTATGACCTTGCTTCCTTTTAAGTTGAAGAGATTCATACATTAAGTAATAGATTTGAGTTCAAAACAGCTAGCTAAGGATAATCTTAAAGTGAAAGGTATTAATTTGTAAAAAAGAAAAAATTTATGCCACATACATATTCATATGTACTAGGTAAGAGACCACTGAGAACTCCAGAAAATTTGCCGAGGAAATCGAGCAATTATAATCGTGGAAACCTTTAAATGCAAGCAGTCAGGCTGAAGTATGAGGAAGCAGTTACAACTATGACAGGTGTGGACATGTGCGTCAGATAGTGAAATAGACAGGCAGAAAATGGGAGGAAAAACTCCCCAGAAAGTAGAAAGGAATGAGGAGTTCATTTGTATGTGAAAGAGGCAAAACTGAAGGGAAAAAGCCTCATTTTTGGTCACGATAAGACATGGAAAATAACATTGCTTCTAAGACATACCTTAAGATCCTAGGTAGTTGTCAAATGGGTCTGTATCTGGTTCGAGCCAGGTGGGGATTTAAGAGCCTGAGTCTGTGAGGCTCCACCCATCGGCCATCAGGGCTGCTCCACAGCAAGCCTTCAGCCACACTTTCACCTCCAGCTCTGGCCTCCTGCCAGGGGGAGTGTGCACATTCCCTGCGACACTGAGGAAGTGTCCTGGGGGAGAGACTGCCTTCTGCAAAGCACAGAGAGGGTGGGACTTTCCTAGCAGGGAGTGTATGACTTTCTAACTTTTGATTTCTAAGAGATTATATAAATATTGATGATAGTGTCACATTTTCAAGCCATAATTAAATCCATCATGTTTGCATGATTAAGTAGAAACCTGGTAATATATAATCATTAACAAATTAACAGCAGGTGGCACCTGTGGCTCAGAGGAGTAGGACGCCAGCCCCATATGCTGGAGGTGGCCCCATATGCCAGAATTGGCAGGTTCAAACCCAGCCCTGGCCAAAAACTGCAAAAAAAAATTAACAGCAAATAATTAACAGAATTTTTATTGTAAACAAAGGTCATTAATAGTTTTTACAAACCAAATTAACTAAAACTCACATTTGCTATCTAAAATAGATTTACAGGTTTATTTTTCTATGGCATAATCTGTAATCTTTGTCCCCTCAACACTTTAAAAATATTACTAAATTTATCAGCCTTTCATGGTCTTTGTCAAGCTTAGCACCATAACATTAGGGGCAGCACCTGTGGCTCAAAGGATAGGGTGCCGGGCCCCATATGCTGAAGGTGGTGGGTTCAAACCCAGCCCCGGCCAAAAAAAAAAAAAGCACCATAACATTCTCGCCCCCCATAAAAAAACATTCATTCAAAACTAGGTAGAACTTCTACCTTGGATCATCAAAATGATCACACAAATTTATTTTGGTTTTTTACAGTGCAGAAAGAATACAAATCAGTATATTTTAAAACATTGCAGGCTACGTATAGGCAGTCCTCATTTTGTGTTGTTTTACATTTTCTTAACTGCTCATTAGACAGTCTCTAAAAATCCCTTGTCACTGCAACCCAACCCCTGTGGCTATTTAAACAAGCCTGTACATGCACCCCTCCCGGTGTCCCGTCTTCCTCATTCACCTCCCCCAAAGCTACTGCTAGTCCTATCGGAGCTCAGTGCAGACACATGGACACACAGCAGAGGAGAAAAGTCAGTATTTCAGTTTACAGGAAAACACCATCTGGTGGCGAGAATGAGGACTTGAAGCTTCCTCTGAATCAAAATAGGTCATAGGGAAAATGGATGTCTTGTAAGAACAAAATTCTGCTTCCCAGTGAATTTTCCAGATCAGTGAAAAATGCAAGGACTACCTGTAAAGTTTCCTAAAATGCTACACATGCTAATAGTCAGTTCTATAAATACATGAAAATATCCTCTCATGTCCAAAGCACTTAATGTAGATGTATCGAAAACACAAGTGTCTCTCAAAGTGGAGTAAAAATAGATTACTTCCGTGATTAAATTCAATAAATAATACTTTGTAATAAAGTGTTCTGTGGCTTTTGTAAAAATATTTATTTAAAGAAACTTTCAAAACAAATCCAGAGAGAGCAGCAAGTAAAGAATGCGTGATTTAACGACACACCAAGCATCTGAATGAGAATTCCAGCAATTTCTTCCCGGATACCATTCATATATTAAATGATATTGCATACATCCAAATGGGTTCAGATGTTGCTACAACCAGTAACAGCAACACTCCAAAGTCATAACCTCCCTTGCTCTCTTGTTTCATTCATAATCCCCTGTAGTGCTAGGTAGTAAGTCAACGCTCTCTCAGTAGAATTTAATGACTTCAGGGTCTCTAAGATACTTGGTTTTTCTCTCAGAGGGAATTGTACAATATTGAATACAAATTGTTTTTTGTATTGATTGTCTTATCCACACAGCTCAAAGTGACCCTGACTACTGTCACACTTGAATGCAGGGTGGGGCTTGAGATACATCTCTATGGCCCACACAGAAACTACTTTGGGGTCCCTGTCTTTCCCATCAAATACATATGTGAAAACCCAACTGGCTTGAGGGCTGTAAGGAATCATAATGGGGTAGTACTATTAGGAGCAGAGATAAATTCTTACCCTGCCTTAAAAGTTGCTTGTATCCCCTCTTGTGTGGCTCTCTCCATTCCGATACCCCTGGACTCATCTTCCAGGCACAGCACATGTGAAAAAGGGTGACATTTGTGTGGCTCATGCCACCAACACAGCAGGCTGTTCCCAGACTCCAGCTCCTCTGGGCCTGTGGCCTCCCCACTTTCCACTGTGTAGCCCGAGGGCTGGGGGTATAAATATCTTGGCACCCCTGTTGACCACTGAGTGTCCCAGTGTGCCAAGGCCCATCAGTTAAGGAACTGGGGTAACTCACAAGGAGCTCAATTTCACCTCTCTAGTATAGGATTTTGGAATTGGTTTAAGATAGTTTAGAATCTGAGAGTGATATGTCGTATTTTTTTGTCTGACATTAGATTTATTTTTCTTTTAACGAGCGTAGGCATACCTGTTCTGTTTAATCCTTATCATTTTAGGTAAATTTAAATCAAACTTTATCTTTCCAGAGTTTTAAATAATTGAAAAGTCAGTGCAGATAAGAAAAAACACCTGGCATTTGGGATAGGTATCATGAATTCGTTCTAGGTTTCGGTCACATGAATTCCAGTTCCAGCCCTGCTATTTACTATGTGCTATTGGACAGGTTTCTCAGCTTTTCTGGTCCTCGGTTTGCTAGTGGGTAAAGCTGGAGTAAGAGCATCTCCTAACAGAGGTGTGGTGAGAATTAGGGATACTAATAGTGCCACACCTACGACAATGGCAAAGTGTATCAGATGGTCAATAAATAACAGCTGTCATTATTATTTAAAAGTTAAGGCTGAGATCGCGTTTTACTTTCTAGTGTATTGTGAACCCTTAACAGTCAGCATCATTCCAAGGAAACCGTCTATTACAGAATATTTTCTTCCTAGTGCAAAACTAAGAGATCATCGTTTTGTTCTCACATATGTAGTTTCATGTGAAAATACGGCTCACAGTTATTGCATTAGAAATCTTGTGTCTTTACTTTTAGGAGCTAAAAGGCTGGCATGAAGCGTTGATGGTGTACCCTGTGACGTCTTAAGTGGGACTATCCCCATTAGAGTCACCAAAAGCTTATTTATAGTGAGCTTAACACATTGCCCGCCACACTAGGAAAGAGATTGTTCCTTGGGGCCATAGTGTTTTATTACAATAATAGAACAATGATCCTTTCTAATTTAATGAAAAATTTGTTATTGTTTGTTATTTTCTGTGCATGGGTTGTCTGCAACTCACATGGTACTAGAATCAATTTTTACACTGCACGCTAGGTGTGCTGTACATGACTCATGACGTGCTAACTGAATTTGTTTCTGAGAATTGAGTCTTTTGTCATTCCACAAGTTATTATTTGTGTCTGGAGTGGACACTGGGTGATGCTGGACGATGACCTCTGAATCGTACCCCTTAAGTATCCCTGCATACTACCATATTGTTTTTATTCAAAGACCTGCCAGGCAAACATCCAGGGGAAACACTTAATCACAAGTTATGGTAATCAGAGAACAGCCCAGCACACTTGGTGCACTTGGGCGATGGTTGGAGCAGGGCCACAGGAGGTGGGGGACACGTGTGGGTTGACAGAGAGACATGAGTAGAGGTTTCACAGCACAAAGGCAACCCAAGGTAAAGAGATGTGTGAGTTATATATGCTTCATGAGGCCTGGGGATCAAAGCTAGCATGAGTTAAATACAACTCACATGACAGTTAATGTGCTAAATAGTGGCCTCAGGCATTTATCCTAGGAAAGGGATAATGGATTTTTAAGAACTTCTTAAAGATTAATTTTGATGTTATTTACTTCTCACAATTATTTTAGAGAATAATAACTTGAAGATCGGTGTTAGAAGGTGTTAGAACTTAGGCTCTCTGAGAACGTTTTAAATACGGAGACCACATTAACAGATACAGTAGTGCTCTGCCGTTAAAATAATTAAAATGAGTTATCACAAACTCTGTAAAATCAGTGATTCACATGCACACTCTTAAAAAGGTCCAGATATGAGCATGTTGATGACCTCTAGGGTTCCTCTAGTGAGTGTTTCCACAGGGGTTGTCGGAGACCTGACAGCCCATGTTTTGGCTGGTCACTTGCACTCTGAAGAGAGTCCCATCGGCACACATGCAGAGCTTGTAACGCACCCAGTCCACGGGACCCAGCTGGTCTCCACTGGAGGAACTGGGCAGGCGGGTTGGGCTGACCATCACAGTCCCATTCAGGATGATACTGTTTTCCTATTAGGAGAATAATGATATGATTTACTCACCTGCATGGATGAGTATAAACCAAAGTCAATAAACACAATTCAGTGACTATTAATAGTAAAAGAAGGTAATAAAAAAGAGTAAAATCCTGAGCAAAGTCACAGCAACAAACAAAACCATGAACAAGACTCCCCTAGTGATTTCTGAGCTTATTTAATCATAACTTGCAACATAATTTGTCAATTATTAGTTAAAATTACATCAGAATTCCTAACCACATAATAAAGAGGATATTGATGAAGGTGCAGATTATTTTCATTTAAGTCCTAACAGAATTATAACAAAGTTGCTGACTGGCAAGTTTATGATAATGGTAAGAGAAACACTTTTTCTCCTAGAGGGAATTGATTTTAATTTCCATTACTTTTGTAACACCGTAAGTGAAGAATCAAAGCATGTAATTTTGAAGACCCAACACTAAAAGGAAACTGGAAGTTTTTTTCTTTAAGTCTGATGTTCTAGAAACATTCCTGTAGGTCCTTAAAATCCTTTCTTTTTAGGGACTCCTAAGCCTCTCTTTCCCTTCCTTCCTCATCCCTCTCCTTTCTTCTTTTCATTTACTCAACAATACTAAGTGTCTCCTAGACTGTTCTAGGTGCTGAGGGTTCAGCAGTAAATAAAACAGAGTTCACATGTTAATAGAGGCATCAACAAACAGTGAATAAATAAAACATACAGGACATCAGAGGGATCAGTGCTACAAAGAAAGCAAGCAGGCTGAGGACAGAGAGTGACCAGGCAGGAATTCTATTATACCCAGGATGGGGGGTCAGGGAGATTGGGGGGAGGGAGTAAGCTGTGTAGGTGACTGAGGAAAGGGACTCCAAGCAGAGGAAATGAGGGACAAAGGACCCAAGGTGAAGATGTGCCTGGTTTTCTCGGGACAGTTAGAGGCCAGTGTCGACAAAGCACAGAGGTGAGGGGGACGTGATTAAAGGAAAGAACTAGGGACATGTGAGTCCAGGCAATGGAGTTCAGATTTCTTCCAAATTAGATGTGAAGCCATCTGGAGGTTTCAAATAGGGAAGGGAGGGGATCTTTTTAAAAGGATCACTCTGGCTGCTGCAGGGCAGAGAACTGATTAAGTGGTGAAAGGATGGAAGCAGGAAGACCTGACAGGAAGACCATCAGTTCCAAGAGTCCAGGCAGGAGATGGTGGGGGTTTATACCATGGTGTTGATGGTGGAGCTGGTGAGAAGCTGCCAGACTCCGTGCATCTTGTGAAGATAGAGCCAGAGGCTTTGCTGATGAACCGATGGATGTGATTATTAGAACAGGAACACAAAAAGAAATGCACATTTGCCAGGAACGGAGAATATCAGGATTTTAAACTTATGTTATGCGATACCTAACAGATATGGAAGTGGAGCAGACAGTTGGAATGGCAATCTTAGTTCAAGGGAGAGGTAGAAGGAGGAATTCCAAATTGGGAGTTATGAGCTTATAACAGGCATTTCAAAGAAATAAAGAAAGCTGGTTATAAAGTAATGGAAATGGCTACTCGATTGTATAAAGGTAGTACTTATATGAGATAAAGATACAGTAATTCTTAAGGGAGTAGTTTTCCAATTCTGTTCCAATGCTGCCATCCTGTGGTCACTTAATTTTACTTTCTTTAAATTGTTTCTTAAGCAGCTTTTTCAGGAGCAGTTTAGTTGGTAAAATTCTTTCTAATGGTTAGCGGATATACTTTAAAGGCAAGCACTAATATGAAATGGATTATAAAGCTAATTAATTTCTTAATACTGAATTATTGTCCTTGACTCCCTATCAGTGGAGTATGTATGCATATTTGAATATTTGTCAGACTAATAAGGTAGAATGCACTGAGAATTTGGAAGTGGAAAAACTAAAAGTTTTAGTAACTTGCTAGTGGTCTCTACACAAATCTGTCACATCTCTTGCTTCTTTGACGTTCTGGCACAGAGAAGGACAGTCCCCTGTGGCCGTTCTTCAACACCATTCCCTTAGAAGAATGGTTTCCACCACAACATCTATAAAAACTACTCAGTATTGTGAGGGAGTTTCTGGCAAGAAATATATTTTATGTTCATGTATAGGGTTATGTGCTTTAGGGGGGAAAAGCCGTTTATGAAAGTGAAACAACTAATTTTTTAAAGCTTTTTTTTAAGAACTGGGAAATTGACTTTTTTAAAAAGGGAAAGCATTATACACAAGTGTGTAGGTTTAAGTTCACTTCTGTTACGTAATTCCTGGTAAGAGAAATTCAATTAGCTTTAGTTAAACAGGATATTGTGGGTGTCCAAAGGCATTTTGAATAAATATACTTTGACCAGAACTGTGAGCCCATAAAAGGTTTTTGAACTTAGGGTGCCCTTAATTGGGATATGATACCTGTTCAGACATAATCTATGAAGGACAAAGAAAATGTAATGTGCAAAGCCACAATAAAGGCAAAAATCTTTTTCTTTTACAATTAATAACAAATAAAAATATATTCTGAATAAAGATCAAAATAAATACACTTTGTACATTTGCTAATGGATTTTTTTCACATTACTGGATATGAAACTAGGGAAGAATATGAAAATCTTTAATTAAAAACAACAACTACTTCATGGCATAGATATTTACTTTGATCTTCTAGAATTCTCTCTTTTTTAATTTTTATTTATTTATTTTTTGAGACAGAGTCTCACTTGCTCACCCTTGGTAGAGTTCTGTGGCATCTTAGCTCACAGCAACCTCAAACTCTTAGGTTTAAGTGATCCTCTTGCCTCAGCCTCCCAAATAGCTGGGACTACTGGTATCTGCCATGCACCTGGCATTTTTTTTTTTT